CTTGTGTCGAGGGGCTGGAAGTGTTGGTTGGCAAAACCACACTTGTGGAGACTTTTTATCTCACGGATATCCATCGTGTGGATCTCATTCTTGGGATGCCATGGTTGGCAAAGGTGGATCCAGAGATAAAGTGGAGCATTAAGCGTATCTCGCTGGAGTATGGTGGCGTTAAAGATGTGTGGTTTGGCGAGGGCGTTCAACCACCAGTTGTTATGCTCTCTGCTACATCTTTGAAACGGGCTTGTCATAATAAAAAAGCACTTTCAAGTTACTTGCTGTTTGTTCGTGACTTGGGGGACCAAGGCACGTGTGGGGGAGAAGCAGCAGTACAGGATATATTTGACGAGTTTTCTGATGTTTTTCCATATGAACTTCCTCATGGATTACCTCCGTTACGAGGTGTGGAGCATGGGATTACATTGGAGTCGGGGATGCGGCCAATTTACCAGTGTCCATTTTGGTTAAGTTATGCGCAGGAGCAAGAAGTTCAACGACAAGTCAAGGAGTTACTTGAGTTTGGATTTATTCAGCCAAGTAAGTCTCCGTTTGGTGCTCCAGTCTTGCTTGTGAAGAAGAAAGACGGTTCAATGCGGTGAAGGACAAGATTTACCGTGCTTTAAACAAGAAGACAGTGAAGGACAAGATGCCGATGCCACGTGTGGATGATATCCTGGACAAGCTTGGTGAAGCACGAGTGTTTACTAAGATTGATCTGAGGAGTGGATATCATCAGATTGCAATGGATGATGCATCTATCTCCAAGACGGCATTCAACACAAGTTTCGGACATTTTGAGTTTACCGTTATGCCGTTTGGTTTGACGAATGCACTGGCCACATTTACTCAGTTGATGACGGAGGTATTTGGGCGTTATCTTCATGAGTTTGTGAAGATTTTCTTGGACGATATTCTTGTTTTTAGCAAGAATATGGAGGAGCATAGGGTGCATTTGCGCAAGGTTCTTTTGTTACTTTGAGATAGCAAACTTTATGCGAAGAAGAGCAAATGTGAATTTGCAAAGTCGGAGGTGGAATATCTAGGCCATATTGTGACATCTAAGGGTGTCAAGACAGATCCAGGAAGGTGGCTATGGTGGAAAACTGGCCTACACTGACTACAGTGGCCGAGTTGTGCAGTTTTCTTGGTATGGCTAGTTACTACCGACGTTTCCAGCATAAGTTTGCAGAGGTGGCTATTCCTTTGACGTGGTTGTTACGCAAGAATGTGCCATTCGAGTGGAAGAAGCCACAAGAGGAGAGTTTTGTAGCGCTGAAATGATTGTTGAGCGAGGCTCTAGTGCTTCGCATTGCTGATCCATTGAAACCTTACGAGGTGACATGCGATGTGAGTGGTTATGCACTGGGAGGAGTTTTTATGCAAGAGGGACAGCCTATTGCATGTGAGAGTCGAACTTTGAATTCCGCAAAGCAATGTTATTCCACATATGAGCAAGAGTTACTCTCTATTGTTCATGCTTTGTAGACGTGGCGGCACTATCTTTATGGTGCAGTGTTCGTGGTGTTGACAGATCACAAACCACTTGTGTATCTTTTCACACAGAAGGAGTTGAACACTAGACAAGCTCGTTGGATGGTCAAACTCATGGAGTTTGGGGAGTTTCCTATTGAGCATTGTCCGGGAAAATC